ATATTGAATTAAATTAGTATAATAGTAATTATAATTAAATTTCATAATAAAAATTGCATCTGCTCTAATTAATATAAATGAAATCAAATATAAAAGGAACTAAATTTATCTATCTTAATATGAATTTTAGAAGCACCATTAGTTCATATCATATTAGAAATAAAATTATTTATTAGAATTTAGTAAGGATAAAAAAATTAAAATATGTATTATAATTTTAGAGTTCTATTTTAGGTGCTCTTTTTAATATTTAAAGGGTGAGTATTTTTGTTGGAAAATGTTAGAAATTTACTATTAGAATAATAATTAAATGAATGTAAATTCAAAGTAATAATTGACAAAATTATTGTGATGAATTCCCCAAAAGTTTTGATGAAATTATAATGCAAAGAAAAGGAAGTTTGTTTCTGAGTTTAAAATTTTCGATATTTTTTCAGAGATTAAATCTCGAGTTGACCTTATCCTGTTTTAAAATAAAACTGGAAATAGGTTATGCCTTGAAAATAGCAACAATATTAATGGATAATACATAAGGAGTTGATAAATTTTATCTAAGGTGCTTCATATCGACACTAAATTTTAATTGAGTTTTTAATTTTAGATTATTTTGATTCCTTATGATAATAGATATCTAAGAATTCATCCAATATCTTAATTCTTAATCCTATTAAGTTAATATTCATTACTTGTTGAATCATAAAATTATTTATAATTAAATTTCCCTTTTATGAATAGTATTTATAAAAGTTCAATAAATTAATTTCTTATTTAGATAAGGTAGGCAAACTAATAGCTAAGACACTTGTTATGAATTCTACTAGATTATGTAAAAAAACCAACCAAACATATTATTGCCATAAGACATCCTTATCATAAATTATCATAATCCATTCAGTTGTAGAATTATTATTTATAAATTAAATTTTATTTATAACTTTTTTTAGAAAATAAATCTAATATTTATGAATCTGCTAATTTTATACAATATTTATTTAGAACTAACTTCTAGAGTATATTATTCAATTAACTATTGTCTATATAAAATGTACAAGAATTTGGCTAGTACATAGCGAATTTGTGAAAATAAGGCGAAGGGAGGTTTATAGCCATTGATAAGCTAAACAATTAGGAAATTACTTTTTCAATTAAACCTACTAATATTAACAAAATTATTAAAATCTCGACATTTATATTTCATGTTCCCATTATTGTCTATTTTGCACTCACCAAGATATGAGTGGTCTAAAAAGACAATTGGGATTGATATTTTTTAATTTTTTGGTTTTAATCTTTTGATAGCTTTATTATTTTTTTTCAGGTCTCGATGAGATTATTTAGTTTCTAAGAATATAAATATATTATTATGTTCAATAAATGATATTTTTTAAGAATAAGAAATTGTTCTGCTTTAATTTTGAAGATGTTATTTTCTTGATTATTGATTAATTAACTAATTTTTGTCCAATTTCTAGTTTCTTTTTTTCATAATGACGCTGATTGTGAAGTAAAATCATTCTTAAGTTTTTTTTTAAGGTTAAAATAATTCAAAAATATTTATTTTAAGGCTTTTTACTTTAGCTTTAACATATTACTTGAGATAAACAGAAGATAATTAAAATCTCGAAAAAAAAAATAACTGAGAATTCAATATAATAGTTTATTGCGACTAAATTATTATCTTTAATTAAGTAATTGTAAAATAAAATTTTATTATAGACAAATGACACATACAAAAAATATAAATATCATTTTCAGATATTGTATTGGACAATGTCGTCATCCATCTATTCTGGTTTTGATAGAACATCAGGGCTACTTTATTAATGTACTCTGGTCTTTAGAACATTCTATCTTCTGTTCCATAAGGCACCGGAGATGACTAATGAGATCAAAACAATTCCTCCAACTGCACAAACAACTGAAATCAATAGTATATTGTCATTGTCGCTTTATTAAGGTTATTTGAGTCCTTTGGTAGTTTAGTTTTTGAATGCATTTTCCTCACTAGTATCATCATTTGAATTGCCAACAAAATCATTTTGTTATAAAAGATCATCATTTAAAGTAGGATCAACATATTCCTCATCTCCTTAATTGACTGGTTCATTTCCATAATATGGATCATCAGAACCTTAGGAAGAACCAGAATTGTTACCTGAAGGATCTGGTTATTCAGTTGATGTGAAGTTTAGAGATGTAATAGTTTATATTTCTGCAGTATTGCTTATAACTGTTCCTAATTCAGTAGGGTTGAAAGATTAAAGATTGGCAGCTATCTGTTCAAGATTAGATTGAGAATTTTGAGCTTCAGGTGTGCCAATAACAGCATTGTCAATTATAGCCCATTGAATTTCGATAACACTGGATAAAAATCTTCTGTTCTTAGATTTATAAGTTCCAACAATGAAATAATTGTATGGATCACCTCCAAGAAGAGCAAATGCATATTACAGGAATTTGTCTCCAAAAAATTCTTCAGTAGTAATTTCCAATCTAGTGGAAATCATTAAAGTGTTTTTGAGTGAAAGGGATACTTTGCAGCCTGCAGTAACAACAAAATGAATGGTTCGATTTTCGTAGAAATAATTATTTGAACCACAAACATTGGTGTATTCTAATAAATTCATATGTTAATTAATCTATAAAATAGTATAATAAAATTACTCTTGTTAGTCCAGGTTGAACAATTTTTCCATCGGCACTAACTTGGACAATATTTGGAACATCAAATTGCAATTCAATGATCACCCATTCATTATTTGGTCCTTCTACAGTTCTCTTACTAAGCCAATAATCTGAATTTGTTGGATTCTCTCCTTTATTAGTCATATTAATTGTAGTGTTAATTTAAACCAATCCAACGAATTTAGATTCTCTTGAGTTTTAAGGTTCAGGTCCATCCCAATTCCATTCTGCAAAAGCATTAAGTATATTTTTGAATCCAGATCCGATTAGTGTGGTTGGTGAAAATAATCTAAGATTTTGATCTGGTGCTGTGCTTAAGAAATTCAAAACTCCAATATTAAATAAGGGACACCAATATCCATTCCACAATTCTTATCTATTACAATAGTTTGCACTTGGACCAAAATATGAATTATTACCAATAGCCTAACCTTTCTCACCAAAGAAGTTTCCAGTTTAATCTTCAACTAAAAAGTTAACTTAACCAATGCATTCCATTTATCCACAACCTCCATACCATCCAATTTTAGCATAATTTGGATTTCTCAAACTAAAAAGTAAGGCATTAAATTCACAATTTTCACAAACTGTATTAGTCAAATAATGTTATCCAACAACATCTAATGCATAAATATTTTATCTGAAGACAGCGTTATTACTGCACTAAGGGAATTGATCATAAGTCAATTTATATCCTGCAAATTAGACATTGTCAACATATACTCTAGTATCCTATCTTTGAATTGAATTGATTATGTCTGCATTAATTGAAGATCTAGCGATGGCTGGATAGGCATTTGATGAAACTGAGACCAATTAGAAAGCTACAGTATTAGTGCATCTCAATCCTTCGATGACTGCTCCAACATAACCATTTGAAACTTAAATGACATTAGCATAATTGTTTGAAGAGCCTGGTTTAATTACTACACCTCTATCAGCTTCAATAATCTAAAAGTCTTTTAATTTAAAGGTTTCTGTATAAATGGATGCCATTACACCGACTCCAGAATTGTAAGCTTAGAGTTACTTCACTACATTGCATTTTGAATTAGATTAAGTTAAATGGAAGCATGCTTAGACAGTGTTGAAACATTTATTATCAAAGAATCCTGCCTAAGATTCATCATCACAATGGGAAGCCATAATATGGAATCCTGTATCAGTTGAACCGATACCAATATTATTAGAAACAAGGATGAAATTTTTAGTAATTTTGGTGCCAGAAGCATATCTAAATGATGCTAAGACAGCCCAGTTATAGGTACCTGTGATAGCTGAATTGATTGAAATAACTCTCTTTTATACTAAAACTAAAGTATTAGACGAGAATTTGATATATTTAGAATTAATAAACTAAACCAATGCTTTCTATCCATTATAAAATACATTTTGAATTGCATTAACGTATTCTGATTCCTCTACTTTGAATAAATAACCATCACTATCATGGAATGAGCATCCAACAATATCACTTGAAGGAGCAGGATCACCACCAATAGCATATTAGAAATCTAAACCTGCAAATTCTTTATTCACTTATCCACAATTAATGAATTCTACACCCTATAATTAGACATATCCTCTTCTTAGTCTAGTTTTTTCAGTAAAAGAATAGACTAAAACTCTAGCTCCCCAAGTATCTCCAGAAATTCTGATATTTCTAGTCAAATGTAAAACAGTAGCTCTGGTATCAACAAGAGTGCTGGCAGATACTCCACTATGAGTGTATTTTAGAGAAACACTAAAGGTAACAGTAGTTCCAACAATTTAAGTAATTTGAACTTTTTCTGCTTCATCTGGATTAGCGCCTGTTGGTGAAATAACTATCCAATCCCCAACCTACCAATCTGTTGTATCTGTAACTGAAATTGAACTAGATCCAGCTTGTGCAGTTTCTGTTAATCTAGCAACCTTACTTGAAGGTACTTTACCATATAATTCTAATCCTCCAGTCACAGCTAAGACATTATTTCCTGCTTCAATGTTATTATCAATTAAAAGTTCGTAATCACTTTTAGTGCCTGTAAGGATGATATTGATTATACCAGTGAAAACTTAGGTTGCACTTCCTGCCACTAATTTACCATTTCTAACAAAGATCTTTCTAGCTCTTAGGGTAGTAACAGCTCTACCATTATCAAACCATAATTCTCCTAAAATTAAAATTGTATCAAATTCTGGTAATTCTATATCAATTATAATGATGTATTCGTATGATATTGTCACATTCTCTCCTGCAATTGGTAGTCTACCATTAGGCCAAATTGAAACATCTGACCATTTCTTTTACACCTTAACAAGTACATCATCAGTGTAAGCAGGGCAAGTATCTCTGCAGAATATACCATAAAGAGCTACTGATTCTTATTACACTCTTTATTTGCCTGAAATACAAACATAAAAGAATGATGTAGATCTATCATTGTACCAGTCCCCATTGTTGCAAGTATGTGGATTTGGAATCTCAGAAACTTAGCTGAAATTTGAAAGGAATTTATGGTTTCTGTTTCTGTAAACATCAAAGGTTTCTCTTTGAACAGTATAGTTGAATCTGAATACAATTCCTGAATCTTAAGAACTCATATACTATGATGCCATAATTGATAAACTGAGCCAATTATTGTACCAATTAACATTGTAGGTGTATCCTAAAGCAAATTGAGATGCATAACTGTAGGCTATATCACCACTCCAAATTCCAACCCATTGTTCATATTAGTATTTACTTAATTCAAATGGTTATGGGGCATTCAAAGTTGGAACTCTATATATTCTCAAAGCTTAATTGACGTGAGAATCATAAGGAGTTGGATAATTGAATATGACATCTCTTAACTTTGTCTATGATGAATCACAAATCAATGAATTATCCCATTATGTATTATTTTAATGTGTGCATCCGTTTAAGCCATCTAAATGCAATTTATATGCAACAATTTAAGCACCTGTTGGTATGTTAGTTAATGTACCATCTAAATCCCAGAAGATTTCTCTTCTGAAATTGTTCCAACGAATTGTTCTTGCACTATCGGAATTTAGAATCTTAATTCCTTTGAAATGTGTATTCTTTCCTCCAGTTACCCAAACTAAATAACTACTACAAGCTGAACATGATTCAATTAAAGTTGATGTTGATGGGAAGTTAGCGAATCTAACTGTATCTGCTAAAAATCCATTAGTTCTGGGTACTATCAAACCAGTATTGATTTATGAACCAACAATAACAAAGTTTTTAATTGTTGTTCCTTCGGCTGAAAAATTAGATTTGTGTTATTAATAACCAGCAATCTTTGAACTTGCTATCAATACATTTTCTATGACAACATTTCCTAAATTATCTGCTAACACACCGATTTAAGCATTTGCCCATGTTACAAATCCTGATAATTTAGTTTAAACACTAGGATTAGCACTGAATGGATCATCCAAGGCATCATTTCTATGAGATACACATGGAGAAACCTTTGGAATTAAGGTTCCTATTCTGAGTCCTATTCTTCCAGTTGAATGAGCAGCATTATTAGTAAAGTTCAATAATGGGACACCTGTTGGACAAACATCAGCTGCAGATGCAACACCTGTAGGATTTGATTTAAATGCTAAATAGAATCCATACCATTCTGCACCTCCAACTCTATTGTTAAAGAATGTATTTTTAGGATTAGTAATCCAGAAAGCTGCTGCTGTTGCATCTGATTGATATAATTACCAAGATGATTTTACAACAGCCACAAGATTGTGTTCGAAAGTATTATACATTTCATTACCATTCTAAATATAGATAGCATGACCAACAATGTTGTAACAAATGTTATCCGAAACATCTAAATGAGAAACACTTTGTAATCCTATACAACGAGCATTGGAATCATGGATGGAATTGCTTCTAATATATGAATTTGAAACGACTCCGTTGTTATTGAAATTGATTGGGAATCTATTTAAATATCTTTATTGACCTCCATTTACAATTTCTACGTTTTCTATTCTAACTTCAGTACCATCATTTTAAGTTCCTTAAATGTAAATATGAACTCCATGATAATTGACATAATCACCTTGTATTCTAATACTTCTGGTCAAACATCCTACTTCCACTTTTCTAGTAAATTCAACCCCATCAAAGTATTCTGAGACAGTTTCATGTGTATGTGTCAGGGTTTCATTTAGAGTCAAAGTTCGTTTATCACTAGTAATTGCAATAATTTTTCTAACTTCAGCTTGAGTTTAGGCTTAGTTACTTGATGTAATTATGATTTCATCTCCAACTAACCAATTTACTGGTTCATCTACAGTAATTGTTCCATCATTTGTAGTAGTTTAGGATAATAAAGTCCATGAAGGTGTTCTAGCTTTACCATGAATATCAATTTTGCATTGATTGCAGCCAATCATTTTGTTACCCATATTTGGATATTAAATTCCTCTTTCTTCTCCTCTAATTGTAATTTTAACATTATGTTGATGTGGAACTTCTTAAGAACCAATTTATAATGTTCCTCTATTAATAACAAGATATTATGCATCTAATGAAGTATCAGCATCATCAGCAAATACTAAATTACCTTCAACCAAAACTTACACCAATTTTGGAGTATTTACATCAACTATCAAAGTTGCACCCTAGTAAACCATAACGGAATCTCCATCAGATGGGAATACATATCCTCCCCAAGTTCTGATATCTGACCATCTTTATCCATAAATTACTTAAGCATTATTAACTGCTTCATCTCCATCAACAATAACTTTAAACTTATTAGTAATACTAGCAGTTGTAACATCTTTTAATCCACTCAAACATTTAATTTCCGTTGCAGTAACAGATTAAACTTAACATTCGATATCATCAATGAAGACTGAGGTTGATCCTGAAATGAATCCTGTACCTGTAACAGTAACAACTGTTTAAGTATGTGGAGGAATGTCTTTTGGTAAGACATTGCTAATGATAGGAGTTGAAGTTGCATCATATTTCACACTTGAATTTATAACACCCATAGAATTGTCATCTACAAATATTTCAGTATCACAAGAAGTATTTTAATCATTATCTGAATCATTTTCAAGCCATCCTCTAAAATCAATATCTGCAATTTAACATCTTGATCCACTGGTTCCTCTGGGATCTATGAACTTAATAGCTCTGATGCCATCCAAATCAACATTAATATTGTGATGTTCAGGTTCATCATCTTTATCTCTACCTCCATGAGAATTTTTCTCCTTTTAGCCTTCACATTTTGTTGGTCTTTAAACATTCCATCCTTTATGAACATCATCATCAATTGTGAACCAATCTTTGAATGTTATACCATCAGTAGAATATTAGAACTTAGCACCTTTCAAATATGAAGCACCTACATCAATTCGAGGTAAGAAACTAAAGTGTTCTAATTTCATTTTTCTGTTTTTGCCAAAATCAATTTATACCCAACAATTTGTAGCTGAATTAGAAATATGATAGGTAGTTTCAGATTCATCAAAGAATCTTTTGACAACATCTTTATCTACAACATCTGAAGTAACTAGGAATTCATCATGATCAAGTTTATAATTTTCAGATTTCAATCCCTTTTCAATTTTTTTAGCCCAAGCAGGATTAAAATCTGGAACTCTACATAATATACTATGATAATTGACATTCAAAAGATCACATTTTTTTCCACAAACTTTTACATTATGACTCTCATGGAAACCATGGCCATGAATTTCTAAATGTTTACCTCCTTTCCAAGATGCTTTAGGTAATGATCCACTCAAAACAGGATTTTAGAAAATGATCTTCTAATATTACCAAGTTGACCATAAGGCAACTTTATCATCACATTAAACAACGACATCAAATTATCCCAAAGGTATATTACTGAAAGAAACTTGAATTAATGTAGCATTGCTGGACACAATAGTTCCTACAACATCATCATGACCATTTTTTTCTAAACGAACATTCAATGTTGTAGCACCTAAATTAGTACCAACAATATTGAAGTTCAAAGTCTCAGTAGAAGTATTATATGTATATGCTGATTTTCCAGAAACATAAACAATTCCAGCATTATTGTTAATTAGTGTCACTGTTGGTTACCCAGCATTAGTAACTGTAAGATTTGTTGAGAATTAACATGAGGATTTTGTTTACAAATTCTTTCTAACATCACGGTAGAGTACTTTAACAGCATATCCAGCATTAGTAGTAATTCTAGGAGTTCTGCATTTCAATTTTCTATTGCCATGTTTTTTCAATCTTAAACACTTTACTGTACCAATTTAGACTTCAATATCATTATCATCACCAAATCCACTACCTTCTATTTCAATATCTTATCCACCTTAAACTACAGTGGTTGTTGAAATTGATGTAATTTACAATTCAACATTAGTGATCCACATTCCTGTTGCGAATCCAGTTGAAGTGAGAATTCTGGTCTTATATTCTCCTTAAGGTAAATCAGGAACAGAATAAGTCAATTATCCAGTTTCTGAAATAGTTCCTGTTACAGAATATTTATCGCTGAAAACAATGGTTACAGTTTATGAACTTGTTGTGGTGCATTAAACGTTTTCAACTTAATCAACTGTGTAATTTTTAATTTTATCAAAGATGAATTCATTCCAAAATGATAAATCTCTTCTTGGACTAGAATCATAATGTTATTCATGACTGATTCCAAATGATGGTTTGATTCTCTTTGGTTCTGGATGTTATCTCTTTTATGTTATATATTTCTAATAATCTGGTAATGCAAGTTGTTCTTCAGATAAAAGTCTTGATCCAGCACTTGCAGTTGAGTCAGATGGTGCTACACAATCTAAGGTTTATGTAGAATCATAAGTGAATTCACAATTTCCTTGACAAATTGATTCAAACAAAATTCTGGTTGTCACAATAACTTATTAAGGAGTAGTGTATCTAAAATGTTTGGGTGGAGTAACACAATATAATGCTGTATCACTGGAGGCTGCTTCATCTAAATCACATATCCAATTGATTTCATCACCAATGAACACAATAGTTTCTTAAGGTACAAAATTAAATCCATTAATCTTGATTCTTGTTCCTCCTGCTTCACTTCCAGTTGCATTTTCAATGCTAGTTATTACTGTATTGTATTAGAACTTATTAGCATCTCCTGCTGCAGTTGCTTCACCTACTCCAGCTCTATTCACTATAAATCGATATTCTCCTGGTAAACCTCCTCTCAAATAAACAATAATTTCATCATCTTTTACACTAACGACTGGGCATTAATATATTTTATCTGCATTAACTAATTCTACTGTTATGTCATTAGTAATTGTTCCAAATCCAGTACCAATAATGGTGTTGAATCCTTTGTAAATTGGAGTTAATATTGTTTCTTAAACTCTAGTTATTGATATGTGAGTTGTATGATCATAAGTGAAATCAGAATTTTGAGCTTGTCCATCCTTGAAATGCATAATGATGACCGAATCAGGCATTGATTAATCATATGTTGGTGTCTTGATGACGACTTAGCTGGTTGAAGTTGATTTGATCACAGCTTAAACTCCTCCAAGAGAGACTGTCAAATCTGTTGTAAGCTCTTTTGGGAACCCTTTACCGAATAAGGTAACTACTGTGCCACCATCTTCGGATCCACTAGTTGGATTAATATGAGTTATTATTAATGGGGCTTAATATGGAAGAACTGTTGGATCAACGTCTGCATTTCCATACTCTTCATAGTGGAAAACGGGATAATACTATCCATATTCAAATTCTGTTCCATCAACTGTGCAAGTGAAATCATATTCATTATCCTCTGTTAATTCCATAATTATGTCATAACAATCATAATCTCCAAAAGTAATTGTGGATAAAGTTTCATCTAAACTATTTCCCAAAGTTATGCTACCTATTGTAGAAATATGAACTGTAAGAGTAGTAGCTTCATCATATGTGAATTCAGTCATGGTTAATTTCAAATCTAGAGGAGCATCTAAATTGCATGCACCTTCTTATGCACAAGCACTCAATAAACCATCTAAAGTGATTGAAACAGTTGGTGTTTTTGAATAAGTAAATAATAATTCGTTGGGAATAGGCTCATAAAGAATATTGGAACTAGCTTCTGATAATGTGGCAATTGTAAGTTTGACCTCTCCATTTCCAGATAACAAATTATTATTGACAACTCTGAAGTTTTATAATTCTTAAATTCCTTTAATTTAGACTTTCCAAGTGAATCCATCTTATGGTGTTCCTTCAGTCCAAACAATTGGTCTATATCCAGTAGTAGCTTAAATAGTATCAGCTAGGACAGATGCACTTAAATCAAACGGCAAATCAACAGATATACCAGATTTCAAATATTATTCAACACCCTCTTAATCAACAAAGCTTAATTGGAAAGTACCTTCAATTGGAGTTGATGGAGTTATTAAAACAGCTGATGACCTACCAATAGCACTATTAGCATTAGTTGTGATATTAAATACAAATGTGGGTCTAACTTAAACTTTTCTGTATCTTTAGAATGTAATCACATATCTAAATCCTGCAAATGTAGTAGTTGTTTAGTCAGCTACATCTTCACCAGCAGAATCAACTTTTGTACTAGTGGCTGTTACAACATAGACTCCAAGAGCATTAATAGCCGATGCAACTTGATCAGCAGTTGCAACAGTTGATATCCATCCAGTAGTATAAGAGAAAGCTGGACTTGCAGTTGAACTTGCAAAGGTTAATTAATATTGTCCTGTTAATCTAGAATCTTCGACAGAGTTGAACAATTTGTATTCCACTTCCTCTTTTATTGGAGTATATGTAGTTGATATACTATAAAGTGCTCCTACTGAATATTCAGTGAATGTATCATCTTCTATTTCTACTGAAACAGTTACATATCCAGGACCAGCACCATTAGTGTGATTGATTTAGAGTTAATAATATTGGCCTTCTTCAAGATCAATATAATCTGATATAGAATTAACTGGAGTGCTAGAAAATTCGCTTTACCAGTAGTTTCTATATCCTGATAGATTGTTTTCAGCAATCAATTCTAATTTGGTATTATCTATTGAGGAGGGATTTCTATTCAATTCAACAGTTGCTCTATCATCAGATGCTACATAGAATCTATATTATCCTGTTTTTGGAGCTTTGAAAAATCCTTTGAATTATTAGTTATAATAAGTTCCATAAACATTTTGAACATCTGGTTCTCCAATAAAATCATTTTAATAAACAGTATTTCCCCACCATCTTCTATATCTAAGACCACTTCCATCTACATAGGCTTCTCTTCCTTGAAGAGTGATATTGAAAAATTTAACAGTAATAGTTGATCCATCATTTCCAACTACCACAGTATTTTTTAATTAGAGTTGTCCTCCAACATAGACTCTGACTTAACATGTACCATATCCAAATCCAAGACCATATATATTTAACATACCTCCCTTTTTTGATAAGACTTTTGTACTTAAACCTGTTATGACTGGAAGGATAATTGATTAATATGTATCTGTAGATGTAGTTTATTATTGTGATACTGATACACTGTTCATTTAATTACCATTGACAGTTGATATATAGATTGGATAAATGCCTGCAACACCATCTGTAGGTACTTAACATTTAATGATGTCATCATTTGCATCGATATCTGATTGTGATGATTAGCTTCTATCACAAATTTAATTCTCAAATTAAATCTATAATTGGGCACTTGACAAGGAGCCCACCAAGAATCTACCTCTAAAAAAACTCCATTAACTGGGATAGTTAACTCTTGGACTGACAAAATAAAGTTGACTTGTTAACGAATTCAAATAGGTAAAATAACAATATACACCTGCAGTGCATGTAGAATCAGCAGATCCTGTTACTTTAATTACTATTGGTAGTGATCCAAGACTTTGATCATCTGGCTTTGCAGGGGAAGTAACACAAATGATTGACAACCCTGAAACTCCATTTTCAGGAATTATACAAGGGTATGTTCCTACAAAGACGGCATTTTTTGAAACGCTGGAGCTTAATCCAGAAGCCTGATAGTAGTTTAAAAATTATTTACTTATATGTATAACGTTGTCCCACCAGCTAATGAGCCTTAAGGAATAGCAGCAGAGGCTGAACGGCAGGATGCACTTGTAATGATTACAGGAACTGCAGTTTTTGTTTTTGTAGATTTGCTTTAAGCTTGAACTAATTTTATTATGAAATTCTTACTCTCTGCCACAAAATAAATGAAGAATAATGCTAAAGAAAGATAAATTTACATGTAAATTAAATTAATTATTGATTATATGGTCTTGATCAATCCCTTAAATACTCAACGAATCATATTTTTTATAAATTTAGATTCGTTTTTATTCTAGACTTATCTCAATTAATTGAATCCATATCAGTATTTAAAATTTTTCTATTAAGCATTTCTTCTACGGTTCATAGCTCACGCAAAACTATATTGGAATCATATTACTGAACTAATTTTCCATTGGTTTAGTTGATCCATATTTATTCATGTAAACATGTGTCAAGGTTTTTACTTTTATATATAATATCAATTATTCATGATTTATCTTATCTCTTTGGAGGTCTTTCTTTATCGTGACTTTTCTTTTTTTTAGGAACTTGTCTAACTTCAGTTTTATTACCATGGTTTCTTCTCTCTTCTGAATGATCTTTGTGATTATAATCTTCATGTTCACCATCAACTGCTTTTCCAACTGCTTTTATTTTTTCATTATTTGGCGCCTACTTCTTCGAATCGTGATTTTAGCTATTTACATTTGTCTTTGGAGCATAAACTGGTAGAGTATTGATTTTATCTTCTATATGAAAATTCTTAATCTAGGTTTTAATGTCTTGAATATGACCATAATCCTTCTCCACATCTTATAGATAGTTTTTGATAATTTCAGCAACTTACTAAGTCGGAGGAAATATATCTTGGACTCTCTTCAAAAATATTAAGGCATTTCGAACCTAATCTATAATTACTTATAATTACCTATGTCTCATTGTTTTTCAAAATTCTGATGAACTAGGCAATTTTGAAAAATATATTTTAAATTATATACGATTTTTCTCTATCGTAACCTTCAATAGATGTGTCAAAATAGTTTTTCAGGTCATTCTTAAACTTAGTTTCATCGTTCCAATTAGCATACGGTATAATCAGTTACTACATAAAAATACTCAAATTCGATGCTTCTTCTTCAGTTGCACATTATAAATACGTAAATGTGAAATATATAATTTCTTTAGGTACATAGAAGGTGTAGGTATATCTAGGTTTACCAATTGTTAACATTTTTTGAACAAACTTTGCACAATATATTGCTTCTGCTGGATCTATTAATATCCTTGGTAATAAACAAACTTAAGATAAACATTAAGCAAATTTGATATGATAATTTTCTTTCGCCTAATCAGCTTCTTTAAAACTGAAAACTTATTTCTTATCTCCCAAACATTTATCAAATTACTCTTATCGTTTTTTATTATTGTCTAATTCATTCTATAATTTATCAAATGCTTTTTATTGTTATTTGCTTTGCCTATCTTTAGAATCAAAAGTTTTATTGATTGTTTCTTACAACCATTTTAGTTATTAATCATAAATAGCTTATGGCACATAAATATTATCCAAACTTAACAGCCAAAATATTGCAAACAATTCAGGATTAATAATTGTCCACAAAATGTCTTTCACATAAGTATGGCATATCAAAGGCAATTAGGGAACTTACTAATTGTTTATGTCTGGATTTAAACACATAACTTTCGGATCTATTTTGTCATATATACTTTTGATATTTTCTACTTCTTCTTAAAATTCCTCTTCACTCATATTATACAAGCTTTTATAGCTATATCTAACAATATGAAAAGCGATTTCAAAAGGCAACTTGAAATCAATGACCATTCTTTCAAGTGGATTCTCTGGAAATAGTTAAGCATAATGAGTAGGTTTGTCTGTTTAAAACAATAAACATTTAGTAAGTTAATTAATACTACACGTAAAATTATCATACAATGCTACCAAAGGTTTCAAATTTTAATTATGATAATTTAAGATGAATCTAGACCTCTATTAACAGAGTACTACTAACATCAAAAAAGCTAATGAAACTACTTCCTCTTAATTATTTTGATTCAAAATTCTTTGAGAATTAATGGTTTATGACCAAAAGAATTATTCTAAAGCACTTGAACTTTTTCTTGATCTTCTAAATTCATTAGTTTATGAAGTAGTTTCAAGTTAGATATATCTTCCTCCTGCCAAAGCTTAGATTTGTTAAGGTGTAAGATCCTCTATATGAACTATTCCTGTCATTTTTTCAATCAATTCCCTTAAAATTAAAATTTCAGGTTTAATTATAGATTCATTCTTCGAGATTGATGGATTGCTCTAGTCAGTTGAAAAAACATCAATCAAATATGCAAACAATCCTTACATATCAGTTGTATAGTATTTTCTTAATACACTTGCAATGAATTATGCAATATTTTTAAACCAATATCGACATTCAATATCTTTGTCTCTAACTTTAGATTCATCATTAAAATCACACAGCCATTGAATTATTATAAATTATAATACATCCAAAGATAATGGGGTTGATAACCCTAAAGTATGAACAATAACTGAATTATTATCTGAAATATCTAATCTATTTCTCCTTAAAACATTCATTACAATCATTGGTTAATTGTGTGATAGTTTAGCAAATTTAATCATCATTTTATCTTTATTATCTTTATCAATTTTATTGAAGAAACTTCTAATATGTTCTTTAGTTAATTATGCTGCTCTTATAGTCTAATTTATTGTAGTGAATTAATGAAGGTCTTTCCATTTTGAATAACAATCAAATCTTTTTCGAAAATCTAACTATCCCAAGTATTTCCATAATTCAATTACAATTGGTAAACAATCCCCACTCTATAGAGCTGGAATCAAATGATCAAGGATTAATGGTTAAACATCAGGATTTTATGAATTAATTAATACTCTACACAATTTATGAAATACTAAAGGATATTCACCTATATATGGAGAAAATATTGTAAGAATTTCATTCAATATTGAAATTGCATCTTCATCAATTACTGTTAATTATTTAATTTAAAATGCTGTAGTACAATTTGGATCATATACAAACTATTTCATTTAAACGAATATAATTTACTTTTTTTTATTCTCTAGATCTACTCTTAAAAAGTGTTTTTATATAAAATTAATCATGCAATGGATCGATCATCCATTCAATCAAATCAGCCAAACTTCTTTTTATAGGTAAAAATATTGTAAAGTCTACTATTCCTTCAAAAGATTTATATAACTCTTAAAATATGTTAAAAGCATTAATGTGAATTAATCCTTACATTAACCATAATTTTTAATTATCTATTTAAATAATTTTAATTACATAATTATTGTCCAAATAAATCCTTCTTCAATTTTTCTGATTAATCATTATTATTTCTTTAATCTCTCACTTCTTCTATTTGCATAACTTAATCAAAAGACTTATAATATTTATAACTATCTTCTGCTAAGTCTTCAAAGATTTTTGAAAAATCTTAATCATTAGGTTACAAATATTTCCAAATATTTCCAAGTTCAAATAATTTATATTTTAATGCAGTTGCTGTTATGATGATTAATTTATGATCAGGGATTTTCTAATCTGTTTACATAATCTATGCTGCATTAGCCATCTTAGTCATTAAAATACTAATATTATTATTGTTAGAGAGTGTTTAAACTATTGATTCAAATCTTTTGCCTAAAAATTAACAAACAGAGATGCATTTAAATTGTTTAAGAATTTTTACATATGACAAACTATATGGATATTCTATCCAACTTTGAATAATTATATCTACAACTCTATCTGGATCCAAATCAAAATATCCAATTAAATGAATAATATTTTCAATTCTTTATTAAATTTCTTCATCATAGATGTCAGTGTGTTTTGATGCATCTAAAATTTCAACCATTAATTTGCAATAACCTTCATTTTCATCCTTCATAGACCAAAATTTATTTTAGCAAAAATTGATATCTGTATTAATTTTTCTCTTTCTTTAAGAGAATGTATCCTACTAAACAAATCCGCATTCCCATAAGACTTCTTCATCAAAATTGTCAAAAAAGATTTATTTTTAAGTTTATGTTAATCTTTCCGCCAAACTTTGCATTAATTAGATTAAAAGTTTCCTTGAGTCAGATGATTATTAAATGACCATAGTACACAGATAAAGATTTTCTAAAAGAATTGTAAAGGAGGCTTCATTTTACTAATGATAAATTAATTTTGATTACTTAGATATTTCTAAAGAATTAAATTACTTTTTCAAATGGAATTTTTTATTTTAAGTAATAATCAGACAAATATTGATATATGAATTTATTCTTTCTTCTTAGATCGCTTACTGTAAAGTAATTGATAGTTCTAGATATAAATTATCGATAATTACCTGTCAACATCATTGATTAACTCTTAAGTGATTACTAATATATCACTCATTAATATAAAATTTAATAAATAAATAAATAAATAAATTAATTAATTTTATCATTTTAATACTGAGAAAAGTAATACTTCTGCATCTCTAAATCTTTAGTTCATCGAAGAACAATTTAAAACAACAATGATTGCTTCTAGATTATCATTTTTATAATATCCTGTAAAACATGGTCCAGCATTTGGAGTAACACCTGTCTTTACTCCCATCCAACCAGACTTTTTAAGTAACTTATTTGTATTTTTCCATTTATAATAAGTTGATTTATTGCCTTTGTCAGTTAGAGCATGAGTTTTATAAATTTTAGTTGTAATAATTTCTATAAAAACATCTAATTAAATACATTTTTCTATTAATTTACTAATAAATATTAAAAATAAGCATACCTTATATCATGAGGACATGATACATTCTTTTCATCATTTAATCCATGAACAGAGGAATAATTAGTATTTTCCATTTTAATTACATTTGCATGTTTATTCATTTAATCAAGAAAGGTATGCTTGAGTAATTTTTTATTTCTTTCAATTTATGGTTCTATATCTATTATAGCTCCTTTTAGAAATCGATTATATTAATAGATTTCTGTTTTTTATAATATCATTAAATAAGCTACAGTAAAACTCAATACAAGTGCTGCATCATTTCCGGATGGTAACATAAGTGCAAATAATAATTATTTAATGGTTAATACTCCTCCAGCATTTAAAAAAGCACTAGTTCCATCAATACATTCAGCATGACCAGGTATTTTAATTTTAATTTAATCAGGTTCAATATTATATTCTTTTAAATATGTCAATGTAGTATAACAAGTCATAATCTTTGTTATACTAGCAACTTCGCCTTTCTAAAATTCTTACCATCCTATTGTTTTATTAAAGTGTTTCTCATTCTTCTATTTTGTAAACATAACCCATCTTTTAGCACTAACTTTATGTTTAATAGGAGGGATTGCTTAATGAACTGATAATGATACAGTTAGTTTATTTGGTAAAATCTTTTTAGTCATTAAACTAGTTGCAGTTTTGATTACTTTCTTAGGCTATCTTTGTGCTAGTTGAGATTCTACTAATTTATCAGAATTAAGAATTACTAGATTAAGGATCTTTTTATTAACTTTATGCATAAACTCTCATTCTATCTCTTATCAATTAAGCTGGTATATTAGGCAAAGTAGGTTAAGGATTGATTGAAATTTGTTATTCTGAAAATTCTTCAGATTATATAGTATGTCCATTAGCTTACTTATTCTTTCTTTCTTCTTGTGCTATCATATGTAATGCATCTAAGTAAGTGTCCACAAATACATAGTCAGATTAGTTTTCATATCTTCTCTATATCCATAAATAAAACTGAATCATACATTAGCTTTTTTCATTGGATCCTTAAGCAAACATTAAGCATCATGTACATAAAATTTTAAAACGTGAGGAGATCTTTTTGGTGATGCTTTTATTTTTGCACTTTGCAATCCTCTAACCTTCAACTCAGGAAGTGGAATAGTAGAAGCATCACTTAATTAATTACATCCACTTGTATTTGCCATTTATGAATGAACACTTTTTCGATGAAATTTTTATAAGGAAACTGAGAATGCATCTTTCGGGTTAGCATTCATATTACAATATTAAAATATTATATTGTATAAATTAAAAATTATTTTATGCAATTAGTTTTTCATCTCTTGAATTCTATTATAAGGCTGACAGTTTTTACTAACAAAAATTTACATTCAAAACATTTATTATGTATGATTTTATATTTAAAATAATTATTTTATTTAAAGAAGAACTTAAAAATTTATATTTTTTTAATTATTCAAATAACATTTATCATGCGTTCTGATACAGAATAGACTTAAGATAGCTGTTAAGTTTGTAAAAAATAAGATGTAGAATTATCAAGATGTTCTTAATGCAAATCCATTTATTATTGTTCAATAGAATGTTAAAAAAAAGACTGGAAAGATCATAAATTTATCTGTTCTGAAATATTGTTAAAATAATAGCGAGAAAAATAAAGAGCAGAGAGAAAAGCATAAGGAAAGAAAGCAATTGAAGATTTTGCAGATTTTGAAGTTTTAGGTCATGGAAACTTCTCAGATATATTTAGAGTTCGAGAAATTGAAACTAATTAACTCTATGCATTAAAATAGATTAATAAAAGAAAATTAACATAAGTAAACAAGGAAAAAGATGTTTATATGGAAAAGCATTGTTTAGGCAAACTTACTGAAAATCCCTATGTTATTAGATTATACTCAACATTTTAAGATGATGAAAATTTATATATGTTAATGTAATACATTGATGGAGGAGAATTGTGGTAACAAATTCATAATTTTGGAGCTAGAGCATTTCCCATTTGTCTATACTATATTTCAGAAATTCTAAAAGGTAAATATATTCAATTTTAATAAAGCAATAAATTCAATTCATAAATAAGGGATAGTTCATAGAGATATAAAAAGTGAAAACATACTGTTAACTTAAGATAAAAAAATAAAGTTTATAGATTTTGGCACAGCAAGAGACATGAATGATCCAACTATAGAAGGAAGTGGAAATGGAAGAAAAGGTAATATTTATATAATTATTTATTCATAGGTAAATAAACATTTAAACATTTTGTTGGTACTCCACAATTTATGGCTCCTGAATGTATAAGAAATAAAGATTCAAATGAAAAATCAGATATATATTCTTTAGGAGTTTTATTTTATCATATAGTTTTTGGAAAATATCCATTTGATGGAAAAAGTGATTATTTGGTGTTTTAATAAGCATTGGAGACTGAATTAAAATTTCCAGATGGATGGATCGATAATCAATAATTTAGAAATCTTATTAAAAAGATGTTGCAAAAAGATCCTTAAGATAGACCTAGTCTATCTGAAATAATGGAAGATTAATTATGGGGAGACAATTTTGATTGGAATACATAATAAGGTATAATTATTGTCTCTAATAAGACTATTAGACAATATTAAATGAATTAAGTGAAATTGATAAATTTACTTTTGATTTTGCTATAGAATTAAATAATGCTGAAAAATTAGAAGATAAGATTTGTGTTAAGTTTGAAGTGAATAAAGTGTTGGGAAAATATGAAAAATTAATAAAAGATGAATATTACTAAAAAAGATTTAATTATATGAAATAAATTGTAGAATAGAATTTACAAAACAGAAAAGATGATGATGATGAGCCTTAATAATTTAGATGATTACATGAAATAAAATTTAAAAAAAGAAAATCACTATATTCTTAATTATTTTCTTTGATTTGAGAGAGAATTAACTTTCATATCAAGTTATTAAGCTTCTTATCTTATTTATATATAATCTCTAATAAACTTTTCATTTTATAAATACAACTATTCTAATAAATATGATTAATAGTCTTTATTTTCCTATTTAATAAAATTTATGTCTTTAAACTTTGTTATTTCAATTATAGAAAATAATGATTGCTGAAGTCTATTTAATTCTCTATATTCACTCTTTTCTATTTTAATAATTTTCTTTATTTTAAGTCTTAAACTTTGCATATTTATTTTTTAAATATTTGTAATTAGATTGGGTGTTATCAAAAATTTAAATCTTTATTTTATTTAAAGGAATATTTGTATGAAATTTGATTGATTTAGATGATTCTTTGTCTTATTCAAATTATTTTAAAATACATATTGAATTTTTGGAAACTATATTGGAAATTGATAGAGTCTGCTTAAAAAAATTAAAATTTACTTTAGAAGTTAATTTGGTTTTATAGATCCAATTTATTTTAACTAATTGAACTTTAATGTCTGTTTAGTGTATTAATTTGTGTTATTTTTGTTTGAAATTTTGATATGATAACTTTTTGATTAATTCTACAGCCTATTAAACAAGTAATGCAATATTTTATGAATATATTACACTGAGATTTCTTGATTGTTTAATTGATGGTAATTTAAGATGATTATAAATTTAAGGCAATATGAATTGATTTGATTATAAAAGGGAGATATTATGTTAATTATTTTTAACCTGAATTGAACGATCAATAGATATTCGAATTCAGTTATTGTTAGAATGTTACCTCATTTGCATTAAATATTTATTAATAAAATATACACATCTTTCGGACAATCCCTGACCAGTGATACCTGGTGATATCTATAAACAATATTTAGAGTCATTTGAGATTGAATGAATTAAATAAATTATTTTAATATAAATGTATCACTCTCTTAAAGAAGCCAATTACAGTGTTAATTAAGTTGAATGTGAAATCCTTTAAGAATATTTAGGATAACCTTAGGCTTAGTCATTAATGTACAATTTTTGAATTAATATTGTTTTAGATAGTAGTTTGCAAAGTCTTCTGAATTTAATATATTAGTCACGCCTTCTGGATTAGTAGTATAATGTTGTGGAAACACAAATGCTATCAAGAAATATGGTACTCTTCAAATGTCTAAAGGTACACATTTATGGGAAATTATTGCAATATATGATTGTGGTTAAATGCAAGTATAGATTATTAGTTAATATAAAAGATTGGAGTTAGCACTGTTAGTAAACCAGGATAAGAGAAAAATTATCTTCAATCATTTACAGCAAGCACTATTAGAACAATCACAGTTATTCTCAATATTGAATTAGGTGAAGTTAATTTTTATTTAAATGGAAATCATAATTAAAAAAAAACACTTCCTATTGAAAAAAATGCTATATATGTTCCTTTAATCTAATTTACACCACATGGAAAGGTTGCAGCTTTAAATCCATTTGCATAACATCCAAATTTAAATTATCCAAGAATTAAATGTTTACCTCTCAATTTATTTACATAAAAAAATGAAATTTAAATACCTATTTTAGATTTTGTAGAAAAATTGGATAGTCTTTAATATAAATAGTATAATTGCGATTCAATTATTAAAATTGCTAATAACTTCATTTACTTTCATAATAATAAAATGAAGTTAATTAGACCTAAATTAGGAAAATCAAATGTAGATGAAACTGAATTAATAAATATTTTTACAAATAAACCACAAACTCCTTAATCATTAATATTTATTAAGTTAATTAAATAACATTATTAATTAATTTCATCATCTTTTACATGGAAAAAATCATTAGAAAATGGATAAACTAATCTAAAAATGATTGAACAATTTCATTATTATTGGATATAAGCAAAAGAAATTGATACTTAAGTTTTTATTTAAATTCCATATATTTTAATGAAATAAATAGTTCTATCATAATTAGAAGAATTTGAATAAGATTTTGGTCGAATTTTATAAATTGATGAACAAATTGAAAGTTGTAAAATACTAAAAATAATCAGAATTCTATTAGAAATAGATGAATAATTATATGCAATGACATTAAATAATTAAGCTTTTGAAAGTTTTAATTCTACAACTTCCTTTAATTTAGTACCCAGAATATTTTCATAATTTCATAGATTGTACACCTTCTTAGATTCTAATAATTATCCTTATGATATCTTATAATTGACAGAATTAGGATTAATGAAATTACCAGGTTTCTCTAATTAATTTAGACATTTCACAAATTATAGGAATTAAATAGAACCAATAACTTATAAAAATGAATTATTAAGTATTTTGCCATCTGAAAAAATCTACAATTATATTGATCTTCCTTTATCTTTGACAATTAATAACATTCCATTTGTAGATTTAGAAGCTAATTTGTAATAAGTAAAATCTTTTAATGATTCAATTTATTTCACTCTTATAAATGATGAAGGTTAAATTCAAGTTTGGAATGGAGAACTAAGTTTACATAGATGTTTATAATATAATCTTAGACAATTTGAAGAAAAGATAGAAGATTAAAATTCTTTGGCTCCTTTATTTGCTGAACCTTAACCAGAATAAAATGTCTCTTCCAATAATGATGATTATGATAGTCAATGTGAAGAAGCTTAAGAAATTATTATTCCTAGTGAAGAATTATTAGAATAATTAAATAATATGGGATTTTCTATTGAGGCTTCAAAACAAGCATTAATAGAAACAAAAAATGAAATTGAATAAGCTATTGAAAAACTCTTCACTATTCAAGAATAAAAAGCAAAAGAAAAATAATAATTATAATAATAACAAGAAGCTAAATTACCAAAATTAAAACCATATTGGACTTGTAAAGAATGTACATTATTTAATTCAAATGAAAATATTAAATGTTAAGCTTGTGATGCTGATCCTCCTTAAGATGCATTTGAAAAAGAAGATGCTATTATTATTTAAGAGTAAATATCTCAATAATAAACAGATGTTATAGAAGAAAAGAATGAAAAAGTTTAAGAAGATAACAATCAAAAATTTAGAAACATATTTAAAACATCTAAATTATCAAATCTTATTCAAATTAATCTTTAAAAACCATTTAGACATTTAATATTTGCCCATACATTCACTACTGAATAATCATCTTATATAGTTTTTAATAGATTTTTTCAAAGTATTAAATACTTAGCATAATTTTTCAGAAGCGGTAATGAAGGAACTTATTCTATTTTAACAAATAAAACTTTTTAATAAATAGCAAATTATTAAAATTTATTAAAATTATTGAATGAAGGAGAAAATAGTAGATTTATTTATGAAACATTATATCCAGTTTTAACTGTAAATCTTTATTATAATTATTTAGTAATCAAAAGAAGAATTTGAATTTAAAGATTAATTTATTTTACCAGTGGATGATATCATTACAAATTTATAATTTTAAGATGATAAAGTTATAATTTAAGGTGCTACAAAGCTTTTTGAATGTACATTATTTGATGGTAAAATATAAAAGTGATATTCTTAGGTGAAAATTATGATCCAAAATTATAATAAGCTTAAAAATAAGAAAAAGTAATAAAATCAAAATAAATAGAAGAAACTAAAGAAAAACAATAAATAATTATTCAATAAAATGATAATGTTGAATTTTTGGATGATTTAATAAAATTAACTCCTGAAGAAATTTCAGATTTAGCTAAGTTAAATGAACTTTAGGATGTATACTTCAAACCAATAAGTAATAATCCTATGCTTTTATCATAATAAAAAGAAGATTCATGGGCTAATATTATAGTAGATATAAATTAAAAAAGTTAAAATAAAATAGAATTAAATTTATCTAGCTAATAGTAGATGATGAAATTAATAGTAATAGGATTTAGTGACAAGAAAGCTACTTTTAAATAAAAGGATTGGATATCAATTGATGGATTGAAACCTGAGAAAGATGATCAATTGCCACTTACTATTCTTAGTCATAAAGGATCATAATTTAATGTTTAGTAATGTATATCTAAAATATGTTTTGTTTAATAAGAAATATTTTCTACGGTTTATTCAAAACCAGAATTTATATTTAAACATTTACATGGGAGATTTATGAATTTTTCTAAATTTATGGTTGCCAGTCCAAATAAATTTTAAAATACTGGTGTACCATTGGGATCTGGATTAATTTTTATTGGAAATAATGCTAATGACTTTTTATTTTGTGAAAAATTCAAAAATTTCAATAAAGATAAATATCAATAATGGAAACTTGAGAGATCAAAAGATGCTAGACCTTTAAAACCATGGGAACCAGTTGCATTTTTTGAATTAGGAGCAAATGAAGAATAATTAACATTTTCTTTGGAATATCCAAAAATAGGAAAATATGTATTATTAATGACTTTATCAGCAAAACAAACTGATTAAGTGAAATTCGAATAAAATCCTCTTACATTAAATTATTTTGTTGCTTATGGTACTATTGTAAAAGAAACTTTGGAAGATTAATTAATTTAAAGTGAAGAATCATTTGAGCTATTCAAAGATATTACTTTGAAAATAAATGATACTGTTTTGGATAAAGATTAATGCTAATTCAAAGAAGATACTTATGGTAATTATAATAAATTTATATGTGAAATTCCTGCCTCTTAATTAGCAAATGTTTAGAATATTAAAATTGAATTGCAACAATCTTAAATAAGCTTTCTTTAAATTAATGGATTTAAATAAAAAGATATAAATTAAAATCTACTTTAAAAACTTCCTCAAGCCAATTTGATAACAAATTTAATGCATGATATTTCGAAATATAATCAATTCAATAAGAAATTTATGTAACTTATTCATGACAATAAAGCATCATAATAATAAAGATTTAGTGGAATTAAAGTTTTGTGTAAGTTATTCCAAAGTATTCCTTAATTTGTTAATATATGCTATAAAGACTTAGATATTTTAGAATTTATTAAGTTAAATTTACTAACACAGCAATAAGAAGAAGAATCTTGCGTTTAAACATTTTTATAGTAATTATTTTCTATACCTGAATTTAATGGCCAATTAATTAAAGCAGTTAAAGACATTATTAATAATATCTTTACTTTATCTGATATAATAAAACCAGCAGGTTTTATTTAATTACTTTAAATGTTAAAGAGATATGCTTCACTAGATTCTAAAGAATATTATCCATATATTTTAAGTCATTTAAAATAAATTGCAAAGTTTATTCATAAAGTTGATTAATCTTATTTGAACAAATTGAATCAATTATAAATTTTCTTGATGTTAACTGAGGAATAATTATTTTCTGATAGATATTATAAATTAACTTAATTTGTAGAAGATACTCCATTAATATCTTAAGTTTTAGGTGAAGTATAAAAATAGATTGAAATAAGCAATAACGAAAAAGTAGACCCTGATAAACCAAATAATTTGATAAATATAGATATTAACATAAAGAAACCTCTTTATTCAATAATAGTATTTTCAAGATAAGCTCATTATGATGAATATGTAATTGATCTTTTATGTTAATATGATATCCATTAATTTTAATTAGTGTTCAATACTCCTCAAATAAATTGTAGAGTAGTAAGAGTGACATTATTTAATGATTAAACTAATTAACCTATTTTGGATGTTACATTACCAGATTGGTTACTAGTTTAATTAACTAAATATGCTGATTAACATTCATCAAATATGCCTAAAAGTAAATTAAATATAATGACATGGAATATTAAAGCTTAATAAGTAAGAACATTAAAATTATAAATAACATATTCATTAACTGCAGCCACTAGAA